TAGACCCTTCGATATTTATCGAGTGATAAACCTTTTTTATGTAATAGCTCGTGGCGACGGATCTTTACTTGCGCCGGCTGTCCTAAATTTTATAGGATGTATTTCTTTGACCCGGAGATAACCGGGTTTATTTGGAAAGTTGCTCGGGATGTTTAGGCAATAATAAAAGTTTCTGTTTGCTATTGTCTACGAAAGAATTTTTAAGATCGTGGCTAGGCTCGGTTTATTGTTTTCGGGCGTCGACACGATTTCTATTTGCGCGCCTATCGCGTCGAAGTCCGAGTCCGTTCGCGTTATTTATTGAGAAAAAAGAAGGAATTTATTGTATGTCGGCGCGTCATGTTGCAAGAAAAAGGGGCCCGTGGAGTCCCCAGGACGTAACAGTAGCAAGATTCTTTTTTTCCTCAATAGTTAAATTGTCATATAATTTAAGCCATTCTTCTTTTAATCCATTTTCATCAAAACCACTTAATCTTTTCGCGATGAAAGAAATATCATTAAAGGATGATTCTTTGTTGCTGTCCATTAAAGCTATACGCAAATGAAAACTTTGTAATTTATATAGGAATATGTCATGAATAGGTAACCTTTGTTTAATTTCTTCCGCGGCGGTAACATAAAATTGTAAACAGTTTTGTCTTATATTTAATATAACATTTGCTTGTCCTTGTTTTGCTAACTCTTTTAAATATTCTTCACATTCTGATCCTAAGTAAATATCAGTAATAGGTTTTTGATTGTTCTGCTCAGAAAATGTTATATTAGAAAGTAAGTGTTGTAATACTTCAGGTTTCAAAAAGTTTTCCGAAATTTGCGTAAGGAACTTAACTGACTTAGAATGTAAATAATGAATTCTTGTTTCTTTAGCTTGAAAAAAAGCATTATAGGCGTTAAAAAAATGTAAAACGTATCTTAAAAATAAAAAATATGCTTTTATATCTATAGTGTTTATTAGAGATAATAAGTGTTCCCCTGAAGTTGTTTTTTCGCTCGTTACCATTTCAATAAGAAAGTGTTTTATACTATCCCATGAGGAACATTAAAGGACAGAGGTAGTGCTGGAGTAGTTGTCTCTCTCTCTTACAATAAGATGGGGGGAGAACCAATCATCTCACAAGTCTATGCTATCACTTTTCACTATCACTTTCTCTCAACTGACTCTTGAACTCTATCTTCGTTGCTCTCGGCCTGCCGCGGCCACCAATCACCTCACTGCTAGAAAAGAAGAGAATTACTCCACGACGGGTGACGTCCATTTGACCACGGTACAATTGGACACAGTACGATTGCACACGTAATATTGGACACGTACGATTCGACACGGTACGATTGACCACCGTACGATTAACCACATTCTATTTGACGCGAAGAATTTAACACCGTACGATTGACCAC